TTTAATACATTTTAAATGTCTGAAATCATATGTAGTATCTGTTCCAATCACAATGAAACTAGAAATCAGTAAGAGAAGGAAAATGAAGTGTCATGAATATACAGAAAATAAAATGCTCTTAAACAACCGACGTGATTGGTTCAAAGAAGAAATCACAAGGGAAATTGGAAAATACCTTGAGAGAGTGAAAATATTGACACAATATGCCAAACTTACGGGATGTGGTGGAAGTAACACTAAGATGGGTATTTGTAGCTGTAATCATACTGAACAAGAAAAAAGATCTCAAATCCATAACCTCACATTACTCCTTAAGGAACTAGGGAAAGAAGAGCAAACTAAACCTAAAGCTAACGGAAGGAAGGAGATAACAGAGATTAGAAAAGAGATGAAAAATAGAGAATAAATAAAAAATAGAGAAAATTAATGAGACCAAAACTTGGTTGTTGATGAAATAGCAGAATTCATAAACCTTAGCTAAATCAAATAAAAAAGAGAAGACTCAAATTACTAAAATCAGAAATGAAAGTGGGGCAGTACTACTAATTCCAAAGAAATAAAAGAATTATGAGAATGCTTTAAGTAACTGTATGCCAACTGATTGGACAACCTAGGTGAAATGGTCAAATTTCTAGAAACCCATTCTCCACCAAAACAAAATTATTAAAAAATAGAAAATCTTAAAAGATCTATAAGTAGTTTCTAGTACAATTCTCCAATAAAAGGAGCAAAGTTCCTTGGAGAAGTGGCTGGTTCTAGGGCTGAGGCATGGAACATACAAGATGAGTGTGGAGGAACATAAAGGAATACTCAAAAACACCCAGAATAATGGGGGTATGTCAAAGAACAGAGGCGCGAAGCGCGAAAGTGAAAGAGCTCCCTATAGCCAAAGCTGCAACAATTTGAGCAATAAGTTAATATAGTGTTGGTTTATAACCCAAAGTATAAATTACTTACGAGTCCATACTGGTATAATATAGTAAATAAATAAATGGAAGAGAACAGTAAAATCTCTGACACAGAAGAATTACGAATGATTTATGTAGTTACTCCACCTTCAAGGAACAGGAGCATAACTCCCCACCTCTTTCCTAGGTTGTGCCTACTGACTTCTATCTAAGGGTACACTGTGCATGGGGTGAGGGCTGGGGAGTAACTTTACTGTAGAGAACCCTGGCACACACCACCTCAGCCAGGTAATCATCAGTGATAAGTCGTACTGATAGCATGTACCCTTGATAAGATGGGGTAATCATTTTACCCCTGTGATCTTTCTCCCAAAAATACAGCTCCATTTTTAACAATTGAAAAATAAGCCCAAACTGAAGGACCATTTTGCAATGTCCTCTAAACTGTCAGGATTATCAAAAAAGGTTATCACTTACAGGCTAGAAGAGGCTAAAGAGACATGATAACTAAGTGTAATGTGGTATCCTGGATGCAGTTGTGGAACAAGGGAAAAAATGGTTACGTTTAAAAAAGGAAATTGAAATAAAGTATAGATTCTATTTAATAATAACATACCAATATTATATTAATAGGCATGACAAATCTGCTAGAAATATAAGATGTTAACAGTAAGCTAAATTGGATGCAGGTTATACAGGAATTCTCTTTTCTCTCTTTGCACCTTTTCTGTGAATTTAAAGCTATTCTGAAAACATTTATTTAAAAAAAACTCAATGGATATGTACAAGCATAGTGCAGAGGATAGAGGGAAAAATCACTGAACTTTATGACAAAACAATAGAAATGGCTCAATCATTGCAGAGAAAAAAATAGAATAAAACTGAACAAAACCTCAGGGGACTATGGGTCTACATCAAAATCTCTATCATTTGTGTCTTTGGAGTCTCAGAAAGAAAGGCTTTAAAAAAAAATGCAAAGAAGCAATGGCCAAAATTTCCCAAATTTGCCAGACATAAGCCTACAGGTTCAAGAAGGTGGGCAACCTCCGTGTAAAATAAACCCAAAGGAATCCATGCCATGAACTCCATGACTTTCAAACATCTGGAAACTGAAGAAAAATGTTAAAAGCAACAAGAGGAAAACAATACCTTACTTATAAGAGAAAACCAATCTGAATATATTTATGGAGTGAGTTTATTATAGACATAATATACTTGGGTCATTTTAAACCATGGATCAGTGTTCTATAGATGGAAATTAGGTCATATTTGTTAATATTATTGTTCAAGTCTTGTGTATCCTCATTTATTTTTCATCTATTTGTTCTATCAATTATTGAGAAAGTATTATTACAGTCCAGCTATAATTGTGGATTTTGTTACTCTTTCAGTTTTATCAAGACTGACTTGCTCTGTATATACTGAAGAAATGTCATAAAGATAGAAAAAATTTTGTTCTCTTGATGAATTATTTCCTTTATCATCGTGGTGCATTTCTCTTTATCCCAGATAATATTCCTTTCTTTTGAATTTTGCTTTGATATTAATATAGTCACTGTGACTTTCTTTCTATTATGTTTGCATGGTATCTTTTTTGGTTTTTTTTACTTATAACTTATCTGTGTCTCTATAGCTAAACTGAATTTCTTGCAGATGTAATATATTAGAGGCTTGTTTTTATATCCAATCTGTTCATCTTTGCCTCTTAATTGCAAAGATTAGACCATTTATGTTTAATGTTGTTATTAATATGGTTGGGTTTAAATGTACTATATTGTTATTTGCAAACTGTTTTTCTGATGTTCTTTTTTTCTACTTTGCTGCTTTTTTCAGATTAACTGTATATTTAATGATTCCATTACATCTGCATTATGACTTATTAGACATGCTATTTTCTGAGGGTATGAGGTTCCTTTAGCAATTACAGCATAAATCTTTAACTTATCACAGTCTTCCCTCAAGTAGTAATTTATTGTACTGAATATATTTTTAAAATCTTGTAACAATTTTCCATTTTTTTGCCTTCTATCTTTTGTGGTGTTATTGTCATCATATTGTCACAGTACATTGTTGTTGTTTTAAAAGACAATTTACTATTTTTTAAAAGAGTTCTGAAAATGTGAAAAGTGTGTTTTATTTTTATCCTCATGTTTCCAGATTATGGTGCTGTTTATTTTTATGTATAAATATAAATTTCCCCTGATAGCATTTTTCTTCTGTGTGAAAAATTTCTTTTAACTTTCCTGTAATTGTCAGTTGGTGATAAATTCTTTCAGTTTTTGTTTGAAAATGTCTTATATTTGCCAAGTATAAAATCCTAGGTTGTTTTTTTTTTCTTTCAGTACTTTAAAATTGTCACTTCATCTAGTCTTCTGGCTTGTATAATTTCTGACAAGTAGACATTCCTTCTTATTTTTGTTTCTCTGTACAAATTATGTCTTTCTCTGTCTACTCAACATTTTCTCATTATCAGTGGTTTTTAAGAATTTAATTATAATGTACCCTGGTGTGATTTTCTTCTTCTCTTTGATACTCATTTAGCTTCTTGGATCCACGGTTTTATACACTTCTTTAAAATTTCACCCTTTGCTCATTTTTTCCATCCTCCTTTTCCCCTTCTGAAATGCTAATTTCACATGTTAGATAACTTTATATTATCCCACTGGTCATAGATGATGCTGTTTATCATCCTCCAGTCTTTGTTTATTGTTTCTTATTTCATAGTTTTCATTGCTATACCTTAAAGTTATCTATCTCCCTTATGTCATTTATCTTTCCTTATGTGGTGTCTGTGCTATTATTAATCTTATCCAGTGGAGTTTTTTTGTTTGTTGTTTGGTTGGTTGATTTTCTCATTTCAGACATTTTTCATATTTAGAATTTCAATTTGGAAATTTTTAATAAACTCTCTGTCTCTTCTCATCATATTCATGTTCATTTTTTGAGTATATGGAGTATAGTTACTGTTTTAATGACTTTATTAGTTTTATTTTTGTCACTTCTTGCTCTGTGGCTACTGACTGATTTTTTTTCTCCTTGAATAAGAGTCATATATCCCTTTTACTCATACCTGGTAATTTTTTATTAGGGGCTAGATGTTACAAATTTTATATTGTTAGATGCTAATTTTTTTGAATTATTTTAAATCTTTTGGGATCTTTTCTGGTTTGTAGTTAAATTACTTGGAATTAATTTGATCCTTTCTAAGTTTGCTTTAAGCTTTGTTATATTGGATTCAGAGCTCACTTTAGTCTAGGACTGGTTTGGCTCCTCTACTAAGGCAATAAATGCCCTTCTGGCTATTCTACCAACTGCCCTTGAATTAGGAAGTGTTTCTACCCTGGCTAGTAGAAGGAGAAGCTTTCTACCTCTCTGCGTGCTATGGTGGTACTTCAGCCTACTCTTTTTCCTGGTCTTTCCCCAACCTCAAGTGTTTTCCTTGCATGCTTTCAAAAGTTAGTATTCAAGAGACCCTTTTGCAGATCTCCAAGGCTGTGTATTGGTATAGCTCTTTCTTCTCTGGTATTTTACCTTACAAATCCTAGTTGTCGTGGCTTTCTTAAAATCCAGTTCTGCTGCCTTAATTTACTGAGTTAGCCAGGCTCTGTTTTGGTGGTCTCCTTTTGTGCTGTGGGTTGGAAGCTCTCTCAGCAGTAAGCTGTGATAATCACAGGGCTCACCTCATTTGTTTCTCTGTTCTCAAGTGTCCCTGTCTGCACTCCTGTTGATTAAAGTCTAAACCTCATTTCATATAATGTATATGGTTTTTTAGATGTCTGATATGGAAGGATAAATCAGTTCCTTTTACTCCATTATGGTCAGATATCAAATCTGTCCTTATGAAATCTTGTTTGAAACACAGGCACTGACCATTTTAGAATTTAATGTTATCTAGGCTTGTGATTCTAGGATTTAAGAAGGTTAATCCCTTAGGAGTGTATGAAAATGTTTCTTGTTATCATTTCCCTCCCCCCAAAAAAATTCTAGCAAGCACCCTCAGTGTGCCAATCCTGAAGCTATACCTTTCTTCACATTTAGAAACAACGAAACTTACACAGGTAAGTCAAGTGCTAAAGTATTTCCTGTTTGCAGGGTACTGCTTTACAAAACCAGAACTGATCTTCATGTTGGAACAAGGAGAAGATCCATGGTTGTTAGAGAAAGAATTTGTAAGCGGAAGTTCCCCAGGTGAGTTATTGAATACCAGCAGAAGGCTTCCAAGAAAATTAGATCCAAAATGATCAGCTAGAAGTGAGCAGTTTGAAATGCTTTTCAGCACTCTCCTTTGAGAGGCCTTTACATTTAAAACTTTAGAAATAATAGAAATAATAAAATGTGGAAGGGGGACAACTAACAAAAGAAATGAAATGTAAGCAAGTTGATATTCTCACATCACTAAAAGATGGGAGTAAGGAAAACCCTTCGAAGCTGAAAAATTAAACAAGGGATGTGTGTTTAACAATAAAAAGATAAAAGCTAAGAAAAGTTAATAAAACAACTAAAATTGGGAGTAAACAGATGAGAAGAGAGAAATAAACCATTAACCTTGTCATTGTATAATAAATGAGATAGAATTTAAATGAATAGATGATTAAGGAATTATATAATGTAGTTAGGAAAGACGACTGGAGTAAACTGCAACCTTCCTAACTGTTAAAAGTTAAGTACATTTCACAGGCAAAGAAAACAGATCTGTTACTATGAAAGTTTCTTAAAAAACTCTGTCAAGGTTCCCCAGGATCACCATCAGGTTTATTAATTCACCTGGAGGACTCAGCTTGTAATATTCTCTCACAAATTTAAGCAACATTTATGTTAAAATCTGAAAGAAATTACTGCCTGTATCATTCATTTTAACAAAGCTACATGGAGAGCACCCATATCTGTGACTCACAATTTTTAAAGTAAATTACCGTCACCAAAATCAGGATGCATCTTGAAATTGATGGCAAAGTTTTCTATTATTAAGATTTGGGGAAATAATTTTGCCCTGCCTGAAGGACATTTGGATTCTAAATAGTTTGAAGGCTAGAATGGAGGATAATTTAGGGGAATAATGTGAGTATAAAGTTATTGTTGGAAATGAACCATTTAATAAGGACTGATACCCTGTCAAGATTAGAGCAGAGAATACTCTGTACTAATGGATTGGTGGCTAGAACACATAATGAGCATATAGTTAGTGTAAAACTTCCTTTTCCTGGATTATATCAGTTTTATCTTTCATCTGTTGGTACCTAAGGCAATAGATCCAAAACCTTCAAATATTTTTAGCATGGGCCTGACATTTTTGTGTAGAGTGGGGGTTGCAGTCAAATGTGCGCAAGAAATTTATGGTAAATATAAAGGCTACTTGTAAAATTTCTAGGGCCAGTTTGAAACATATGATCCTTAGGGTTCTTGCAGAGAATAAAAACTAGATATGTGGAAAAATAGGTGGAAAATAGAATTAAAGAGTAGGCAGGGGCAAGACTGGTTTGGGGGAAATGAGTGAGCAAATTGAAAAGAGAAAAGTTACGATCTGATGATTAAGAGGGATTCACAATTGTACAGCCCTAATACAATACCAGGGCTCCAGAACCAGGAAAGAGAGATGATTGCAATATAGGTTGGAAATTGCTTTAACTCTCGTCAGTTTTTTTCACTTCCACCAGTACATTTATGTTTCTGTCTCTGATTATTTCTTTCTACATGAGAAAGTTGGTGCCATTATAAATTTATTTTAGTGTTGACGTGTGTATTGGAAAAAATGGAGCTCCAATTGGAGTCATATAGACTAATGGTTATCTTACTGTAATCTATATTTGACTATGAATGTAGACTCCAGTGTTCTTCCCTTAATGAAAACTCTGTCTCAGGTAAATCCACTGAAAGCCATTCTCCATTGATACTTTTTGTTATACTTAGTGCAAAATCCTCGTTGAATTCATTCCAATCTCTGCTGTTTTCTTTTCCCAGGATCCAGTTCTCTTAAATATATTCTTTTTTCTTAATTGTTCCTTTCCTTTATATCCTCTTTTCTACCCAGTTTTGAAAATTACACTTTAACATACCAAATGTATATGTATTTTCATTTCTAGATTCCTCTATCTTTTTCCACTACAAAAAGTGTTTTTAACAACAAAAAAAGAGAAACTGTACACTTGAAATCACTTTATTTTGGGGAAACTGAGCCAGAAACCAAGGAGTCAAATATGTAATAGGGTATATGTATATAAATCAGATTCCATAATATGTTAAATATCATAAACTATTTTTAATTTTCTTATTTTTAGAAGAACCCCAACCTGATAAGTTCTTAGAGGAGAGCCTGGAAAACCAAGGCAAACATTTGAGGCAAGTTTTATTCACCCACAAATCATTGACTACAAAGCAAGAAATTCCAAGAAAACCATATAATCTGGACATAAACATTCTTCCTGCAAAAACAGTGCCCTGTAAATTTGACACTGCAGGATCTAGTTACTTGCTTCTCAGCTCATTGGCCCCACACTGTCAGTATTCAAGAAAGAAGACTCATGAGCTTAATGTATGTAAGAAATGGCTCCTCAGTATTAAGGATAGTAGAACCAATACTGGAGAGAAATCTTTTGTTTATAGGAGACGTATGAACGCCTTTGGACATAAAGACAAAGTAATTCAGCATCAAACAATTCAGACTTTGCAGCAAGATTTTGAATGTAATGAATGTGGGAAAGATTTTCCTGAGAAGACTACCCTTGTTACGTCTCAGAGTACCCACCCAAAAGTGAAGTCTTGTAAATTCATGAAATTTGGAGAAAACCAATGTGATAAGTCAGCCTTGATAGTCTCCCAGAACAGTCATCCAGCAGAGAAGAGTCAGTATGAGATTGATAAATATGAATGTACTAAAAACAACAGTAATTTCAGTCGGATGACTCAAAGAACTGACACAGAAGGGAACTCTTCCAGCCAAAAATTACACTTTAGAGAACAGCAAAAAACTCATACAGGAATGAAAACCTTTGAATATGGAAGGGATTTTGGCCATAATTCAGCCCTCCCAGTGCATCAGAGGATTCACACACTAGAGCAGTCCTCTGATAATGGCACATGTACAGAGACATTGGATTACCAGTCAGCTTTCAGTGTACATCAGCGATCTCAAATTACAGTGAAACCCTATGAGTGTAACAAGTGTGGAAAATCCTGCAGTATGACTTCATGCCTGATTCAGCCTCAGAGGAGTCACACAGAGAAGAAACCCTATGAATGTCATGAATGTGGGAAAGCTTTCAGTGAGAAGTCACGCCTAAGAAAACATCAGAGAACTCACACAGGAGAGAAACCCTATAAATGTGATGGGTGTGAGAAAGCTTTCAGTGCAAAGTCAGGCCTAAGAATACATCAGAGAACTCACACAGGAGAGAAACCCTTTGAATGTAATGACTGTGGGAAATCTTTCAACTATAAATCAATTCTCATAGTGCATCAGAGAACTCATACAGGGGAGAAACCCTTTGAATGTAACGAATGTGGGAAATCTTTCAGCCATATGTCAGGCCTGAGGAATCATCGGAGAACTCACACAGGAGAAAGGCCGTATACGTGTGATGAATGTGGGAAAGCTTTCAAACTGAAGTCAGGTCTAAGAAAACATCACAGGACTCACACAGGGGAAAAGCCCTATAAATGCAACCAATGTGGGAAAGCTTTCGGTCAGAAGTCACAACTCAGAGGACATCATAGAATTCACACAGGGGAGAAACCCTACCAGTGTAATCATTGTGGGGAAGCTTTTAGCCAGAAGTCAAACCTCAGAGTACATCACAGAACTCACACTGGGGAGAAGCCCTATAAATGTGAAGAGTGTGGCAAAACTTTCAGGCAGAAATCAAATCTCAGAGGACATCAGAGAACCCACACTGGGGAGAAACCCTATGAATGTAACGAATGTGGCAAAGCTTTCAGTGAGAAGTCGGTCCTAAGAAAACACGAGAGAACTCACACAGGAGAGAAACCCTATAATTGTAATCACTGTGGAGAAGCTTTCAGCCAGAAATCAAATCTCAGAGTACATCAGAGAACTCACACTGGGGAGAAACCCTATAAATGTGATAAATGTGGGAAAACTTTTAGCCAGAAATCTAGCCTTAGAGAACATCAGAAAGCCCGCACGGGGAATTAAACGTATAAGTGTAATGAATGTAGAAAATCTCTGAGCTGGAAATCAAGTCTCACAATACAAAATGAAGCTATCGGAGAACACCCCTATGATACAATGAACACTTGGAAGCTTCTCTGCAAGATACTGGCTTTCACTAAACATCAGAGAATGCACACAGGAGAGAAATTCTTGGCCTATATTTTATATGGACAGTCTCATCCTGAGTGTGGTCCTCACTGTAGATCAGAGAACTCACGCAGCAAAGAAGCTCTACAAAGATAATCAGTACTAGAAATACTCTGTGCCCTCAATCCTCAGAAAACTCACTGCGGAACAACTCTGGGAATGTAATGAAAATGTGAAAACTTTGTGCCAGCCATCACAATTCATTCATCATCAGAGAAATTAAACAGTCAGAAAACTGAGAATTTAATGAATGTATGACAACCTTTAGCCAAAAGCCAGCTTTCTCAGTAAAGCAGAAAATACATAAAGAGTGGAGACCTCGTATTCAGAACAGACAAGAAATCAAGGTAATGGATGTGGGGAGTCCTTCTACTGTAAGTCAACCCTCAATTTGACTTACACAAGGGTAACAACTATATGACATATAATGACTATTAATTGTTCACCAATAACCATTTCCTCTTCTCCCTCATGCCACACCTAGTCTGAATTTCTCAACTGCTCTGTCATCCAAATGAGATCATATTATTAACCTCTGGATAGTGAAATATAGGGGGTTCAATGACAGGTCTTATTTAATACATTTCTCAAATTCTTAATGTTTTCTCCTGTCCCTTGTCAGAATGGAGTGGCGGTTGCCCCCAGCAAATCCATGGGGCTCTTGCACGGAAGATGAGAGGGTACAAGATAGAAGGAAACAGGGCCAAAGAGCGACTGTTGAATGGAATCTTCTCCTGATGTTCACAGACTCTTTGCCATGATGAATAAATTTGTACTCTACTGAACTTCTATAGGTTTGGGTATACTTAATGCTGGCATATACTCGTGAACCCTCAGTTATCGAAGTCTATGAATATGATTTCTGTGAACATGTGAACTCAGTGTATATCAGAAACATCACACAGGATGTTTCTGACATCGTGGTTGCTGACAACGTGGTGAATGACCAGTTTTTATCCACAACTCTTCTTTAGGTGAATATCAGGGGAAGATACCTAACATTTCAACATATATAGGTAATCCTTTACCCCTCAAAATGATATCTCATTAAGTATCT